TGTTCGGGGCTGCGAGTCAGTGGGGCTCCTCCCCACCCTTCCCCACCCTTCCCACCCTCCAAGCCCCTCCCCGTGCCTCTGGGCGCCTGGAAAAGGAAAGAGGACTCCGGGAGGGCTCACACACCACTCCCCTCCGTGCTGACCCACTCCATCCTCACGGCACCTCTGCCGGCACCTCTGCCAGATCGGCCCCAATTTCATGACAAAACTGAGGCCCTGGAGTCAGGAATCAATTTGCCCAAGATCACCACGCCCGGAGGTGACAGTGGCAGGATTTGCCCTCAGCTCCCTGTGACCACAACCGAAGCTTCTTTCCCACCCCCAAAACTCCCGGCATTTATTAGGCGCCAATTGTATACATACACCCAGGGTTCCTAACCCACTCAGGGCCTCAGATCACTTGGGAGGGTGTCAAAGGCCGCGGCCCCACGCTGTGAGCCAGCTCTAGAGATGATTCTGATGCAGTCAGTCCCTGGGCCTGGGTTCAGGACTCAGTGACAACTGGGCTTTCCTTTAGTCTTCACGTCTCACCCCAAGCACTCCACAAAAAGGGACACTGAAGTTCAGAGAGAAGAGACTTGTCCAGAGCCACGCAGGTGGGAGGGGCAGAGCCAGGCTGAGCTAAGGGTTCTCTCTGGAGGCACCAGTCCCAGACTGGTCCTCGCTCATGGCCTGACAAAGCTTGTCCAAAGGCGCCCACCCTCTGGCCAGGCCAAGCAGTGCCCTCAGCAGGCCTGAGAACTGGACGGCCTACAGTCCTAGGGAGGGAGGCCTGGCTGGGCTCTCCCCAGCCCTCCTCCCTGGCTGGCTGGATGACGAGGCAGAACAGAACCGGCAGATGCCCCCAGAGGCTGGGAGGAAGCCTAGCCCCTGGGCTCGATAAGGGACAGGAGATAAGACAGACTCCCTGGCACTGAGGACCGAACTGGCCATGCCCACACTTCCAGGCAGTACCTCCCCAGGGGGATGCGCATGGGATGGGCAGGGGGCCCCAGGTGTGGTGCCCAGCTGGGGGCTGCTCTGGGCTTCCTATTGCGCAGGGCATCCCATGTCCCAGGCCTGAGTCAACCACAATCTTGCTGTGCGACCTGGCGCGAGCCCCTAGCCTGCCTCAGTTCCCCTCCTGCAAAATGGGGCAGAGAGGTGAAGCGGATGACTCTTTCAGTCGGGAAGCCTAGGACAGAGTGGGAAAACTGTCATGATGTCCCTCCCTGCCCTAGAGTCCCAGAAGAAGGGTCTTGTTCACTGCTGGTCCCCAGGACCCTGGTCGGGGTGGGCACAGAGTGGGTGTCCAGGCGACTGAGGTGGGCTGTGGCAGTCTGAGGGGGCAGACTGACCACAGAGAAAGGAGGACCAGGCCAGGTCCTCCTGTGTCCCCCAGGACCCGCACCAAACAGGTGCCTGACAGCAACTGCGGCAGAGCGATGAGGAGTTCCACACACACTCGGCCCCCCAGACTGGCGCCCCAGACCAGGCCTTTGCACTCACAGTCCTGACAGCATGTCCGGCGCCCGCCTACGTCTGTGCCCCCCAGACGGGCGCCTGCTGGGGCAAACGTCGCGATCGTTCACCTGTCCCCGGTGTCCGGAGGCACCCAGCGAGGGGCAGTCCCACCGGCAGCCTTTGCGACCAGGAGTTTCCCCCAGCCAGGAGCGCCGTGCTCCGCTCGGGCTCCCTTCATTCATTCTCCAGCCTCGCCCCAGCGCGGACTTTGTGCAGGTCCAGGCCGGACGCCGGGTCTGG